CAGCTACGGTAAGGGAATTGAATACTCCCTCCACAGCAGCAGGCAGGGAGGGGTGCAACATTAACCCCAGGATACCCACACATTTAACAGCTGCTGGCCTTTATTAGAGATCCTACTATAAATAATGGTTTTGACTTGCCTACAGAACAGATTTAACAGAATATTACTGTAGCTTTTGCCAAGTTACTGCTCTTTCAGCATATCAACACCAGAAATACAGAAAAAGGAATTCTGAGCCATACAGCTGTTGCCAAACTGGGACAAGAGGACATTGCACAGTCTTTATTCACAACTTCTTTACGGTGAGAGAAATAATTCTTCTGGAAACACAGTCCAGTATTATTTCATGTTAGAATTATTCTATGAATTGCTGCTGGGTGGTTCAGGAGATGATCTCACACAACTGTCTGCCAGCTGGTACCAAGTTTCAGAAGCTACGTAAGCTATCTTCTAATTGCATGTTTTGCTGTGGTTTCTAAGGAAAGCAGTCACATTTTGACTTCATAGATTGGAGGGGTGTTTTGTTTTAATTTAAGAGTGTTTGAGGACAAGTCCTAAAGTTCTTTTCCTAGTTAAGAAATCCTGCTTTTACAACCATCTTTCTTCTCTACTGCCCGTTCAGTTTTTCCATAACTATATGTTAAAGCACCAAACTCTCACAGAACTCCTGGCTATAAATTCAGCACAGGTTTCATGACTATCATCTGTTTTGTTACTGATGAAGTTTCATGTTTAATGACATTTTCTTTTTGTATGTCAGTCACTTCATTCTGTCAGTTTGTTTCACAAAGCAGCCATAAAATATTTTAAGAAACATTAATCTTCCTTGCAATCAGGAAAACATCAAACTGATTTTTGGGAATATGATTTCAAGTCAACACAGACACTCCTAAAAGAATGAGTAGTTTTTTTCTAGCATCATTAAATCAGTCTACTACACTGTGTGAAGCATAATTAAACGTTAGGCAGCTGAGTAAACAGCTGGCTGAACATGAGCCAGCAGTGTGCCTAGGTAGCCAAGAAGGTCAATGGCTTCTTGGCCTGTATCAGGAATAGTGTGGCCAGCAAGACTAGAGAAGTGATCATCCCTTTGTACTCAGCACTGGTGAGGCCACACCTCAAATACTGCATTCAGTTTTGGGCCCCTCACTACAAGAAGGACATTGAGGCGCTGGAGCGTGTCCAGAGAAGGGCAATGAAGCTGGTGAAGGGCCTGGAGAACAAGTCTGATGGGGAGCAGCTGAGGGAGCTGGGGGTGTTTAGTCTGGAGAAAAGGAGGCTGAGGGGAGACCTGATCGCCCTCTACAACTACCTGAAAGGAGGTTGTAGCAAGGTGGGGGTTGGTCTCTTCTCCCCAGTAACTAGCAATAGGACAAGAGGAAACGGTCTCAAGTTGCACCAGGGGAGGTTCAGGCTAGACATTAGAAAGAACTTCTTCACTGTAAGAGTCGTTAAGCATTGGAAGGGGCTCCCCAGGGAGGTGGTGGAGTCACCATCCCTGGAGGTGTTCAAAAAACGTTTAGATGTGGCACTTCAAGACATAGTTTAGTGGGCATGGTGGTGTTTGGTGGAAGGTTGGACTTGATGATCTTTGAGGTCTCTTCCAACCTTAACGATTCTATGATCTTCCAGTGACTTCAAGTCAAAAAATCAAAGCCAGAGTATTCATTTAAGAATTGTTCTAAAGTTTTTTTTCCTACTTGATCAATAATTAACATTGATGTCCCTAAAAAGAAAATGTCAAGTATTTATGCTTTACTACAACCTGTGGTAACTTATTACAGATGTTCAACTTGCAACAGAAATTCTCAGCTTGGAATAAAAAAAGCAAGTAATAAAAACTGACTCCAGTATTCCCAAAGCAGTCATAGATAACCCATTTTGGTTTCCTGCATTGTTTTACAATTAATTTCAAACTTCAGCTGTTGAGCAAGATCACAGCACTACTATAAATTCTAGATCCACAGAAGAACCTCAAGTGATAGAAGTGTAAACTTGTTGGCCAGTACAAAATCCCACCACTAACTGCTCCCATACTAACTAGTCTTGGTCCAAAATGGGTTTGTTCTATTCATGTGCAATATTCTTGGCTATCATATGCCTGGAACTAGACTAATTTTAGCTGCACACAGGGTTGAACACATACATAGAAGAAAAACAGTACATCTTGCCTGGCATTTACAATTTGTCTATGCACATCTTGGGTAAGACTTAATTTATGCAGTCTGTATCATACTATTCATAGGCTTGTATTAAAGCTGGATTTCCTTCAGCTGTTGTATTCATGTTTCTGCAGTGAAAAGCAGTGTTACTGTGGGATTGCATTTTATTAAGAACCCCATATAAAATTTTATTGCTCGGGAGTCCACTACTCACACAATTCTCATCAGGAATTACACACTGTAAGATCCCATAGACAAAGACTCAATAGCATTAAAACCCATCTCTTACATGCACTACTCGAAAAAAAAAAAGTCATCTCCAATTCTTATTTCCTTGGCAACTGTACTCTGAAGATGATGGCTTATGACTCACAGTGCTGCAAAAGCTTCCAAAGCTTGCTCTTTTGTCTTGTGGTAAGGTTCACTTGCGTATGTGCAAGGTAAGTATTTAAGTATCCTGAAGGCATGCTCCACCAGCTATTTACAGACTGGATTAATCCCACAATCCCAGCCTCCCACTAAAAGAATGCAACCACCAAGAAACTAAATAAGCTGACTCTCCAAGAAAGCAAGGGAAATGCCAGTAGCAGTTTTACCCCTTGATGCTCTTCAGAAAGGATCTGCCGCTCCCTCTTTCTTAAGAAAGGGGAGTTAAAGTGATCCTGCTATAATGACCTTGCCCATTCTTTAGCATCTTTACGATGAAGCTACAAGTCACTATCCAGGCTTTGACTAAGTCTGCAGGAGAAAGAGTAGGAATAGGGGTATAGCATCTAGTTCCTCCATCTCCATGGGACAGTGCGTGAAAAGCCACTGGAAGCCTCAGGAACACTGAGCAGCTTTATAGCTCTTGCACATTCCTAACAGGAGCAACGCTTCACGCAAGAGTTTAATGGTTCATCCGTCTACTTCAAACTGATGAGGGCAGGTCCCATACAGAAGCACTACTATTACAGCTATGTGCAAGTTTCTGAAAAGTGTCCTGATCTTCTGAAGCCTCTACTCCTCACCCTTGCTGTTAACATGAGCCCTGAAGCAGTGCTCTGCTACCCTGAACATAGTTCAGAACAAGAGATCCTTCAAGCACAACTCGTCAATCAGTACCCTCCTCTTAATCCCCAAGGAGAAATGACCAGCCTGCCCTCTCAGGTCCTATGGGGGCAGAGGTAGTCAAGAGGATGCCTACCTGCAAAGACAGGGTGATCTACCAGTTGGATTACAATGCTTACAAACACCACAGCCATATCACAGGGTTGTCCCTGCTCTGTGGGCATTGTATGAAAGCAGTGCTAGTGAATCAGGAAAAGGAGATGGAATGAGGAAAGATGACAGTTTGATTTTAAGCCCCCATAACTTCCACTCACTTTGAGTGGCTTCTGATGCACTACTCACAGAAGAATCTCATCACAGGACAAAAGCCTGAGGCATATTTGCCCAAAGTGATTGCTGCACAGTAAGTCCCTGTGTGGAAGCCATTAACGTGCAGAATCTGAAAGCATCTGGTTCAAGGATACAGTTATTTCAGCCAGGTAACACTGTCTTTTATTGTCTACCCAAATTGTTAGACAAGTTCCTTAAATCTTCAAATATCTGTCCTAAAGCTTAAATTGTATCTACATTTCTGTGGGTAAATAGTTATGATAATAGCACTCATTACAAAGATGAGACTGATCTTACACTCTGTTTAACTATTGATGTAGCATACTTGAAGGCATACCTGTTGAATAAATTCAGAAGGTATTATGTGACTAGTTATAGGACAATTCTGTAACATCCCAACACTACTGTTATTCAACTAAGACATCTACACCTTCTAGTCCAAAACCTGTTCATGGTCATCCTTCTCTATCCTCCCCTCCATTTCACAACCCCATGCAACAAGCCAAACGCAAACTCTGTCATCTCAAGGATTTTAATAGCACTGGCCAACTGAGAATAATAAAAACGAGTAGAAATAAAGTAACAGTAAAGGCAAAAATATCAAGATAACATAGGAAGTATTCATTCCTAAAATGAGGTAGCAAGCTGACTAACTTATGGGGCTGAATTTTTATTTTTAATGATTTTTTAACAGCAGAGTAATTTTTGCAGATTCATTAAGAAAGCTGCTTTCAGATGAAGTACATACGCAGAAAGGAAGGAAAAAGATAACCATCAGGTAGCTCTGAAGCCAATATTTGCTTTCTGTTTGGACTGATACCAAGTTAAGGTAATTCTGCTTAAATTCAACGTTCAAACAAGCAGAATGCTCCTCTGCTGAAGATGTGTTTCATTGCTGTAACTTAGGAAAAACTTGCCCCAGGAATCGGATTAGATCAATAATTTATGTGGCAGCACATGGAATGTAGGCAAGACAACCAAAGAATCAAAAGTGAAGATCTGCTAGTGGATCAGTTAATAGCTGCTAGTCCACTGTCATTAATCACATGATAGATGCCTGCAGAAGTATCTGGCCTTCCAACAGATGCAGTTTAGACCGCATCTAGTGCCAATGGATCCCAACCAGGATCGGAGGGTTATTGTTGCACTCAGCTCTGGTTTAAGGCTCAGCCCAAATCCTACCAAATTCGCTTAGAACTTATCTTTTGACTTCAATGCCAGCTAGAGCAAGCATTTAACTGGGCAAAGAATTACCCCAAAAAGAGTGAAAAATTGGTGAGACCAAAGTTCCTGATCACTGTCCATAACTGGACTAAAGTAAAAAGATGTTCTATTTCTTTTGCTTTCATATCACTTGAAACATTTAAAGTGCAGTTTATGAACGTTTCTGGAAGCAGAAATCTGCAGTTTGAAGGTAACTTTCCCACTTAAAAGATGATTCATTATTAAAAACAGGTCTGTACCATTTTCAGTAACCAAAAAAACTGCTATAAAAATAGAGATCTGAAAATAGACCGAGTTCACATATACCAGGTACCATTTCTAATGTAAAATTGGTTTCATTTATGAAAAATATCTTTCCTTAAAAAAAAAGCATAGGCTTACAGTTATTATCACTAAGAAGGTCCACAGAATTCCTTCAGTACCTATTAAACATTATACTCTAGGCTTTTTGACAGGTGGGTCCTGCAGGCTGAACTTAGGAATTTCACACGAAGAAGCAAAAGGAATTCTTTTGGCTGACACCTTCTTCCCAATTGTTTCAATCTGAAAGAGAAAGCACATTTAACAAGTAAGTGTGGCAAGCTAACATAGTCATGTCAGCCTATGAGAAATCTACAAACTAAATCCAGGACCAGGACTGCATTTCATGAACACTAGACTAATACAAGCCACAAAGCACAGCGTGCCCCAAGACAGTTTCTGGGATTGAAGTTGCAAAGAGTCTTTTTTAAAAAACAGCCTTTCACAGGTGCCTGCTTTGCCTATTTAAAGCTGCATCTTGCTAATTTGAACATTCGTGTGCCTCATCTTCCATAAGACTATCAGTCACAAAATGTTTCTGGGTACTCATAAAATGTGGGCTCAGCCTCCTTTGTCTAAAAAGTTATAACCAGTAAATTAGGATAGAAGAAGCTTTTTTCCCCCTCCTTAATGCAATGGGTTGTTTTTGAAGCAATACAACTCTGAAAGGCTAAAGGCAGCCAACTCTATATAAGAGAAAGCAAGTAACAAAGCCAACACACACACAAGCCATGTACGGCAAAATTCAAAGAGTGAGACAGGTTCCTCTAATTTCTAGGTCAGACTAATGTAAATTACTAAGGACAGAGCTCACAGAGGACAAAATATCCACCAGCAAAACAGTTCAGACACCCAGTAAACAAGGAGAGCTGTAGCTTTCCTCTTGAGTAAGTAGTGCAGGTCAGATGCAAAGCACCAAAAAACAAAATACTTCAGCTATTTTAAATTTAACAGAAATTAGATTAACATATTCTAGACAGACATCTGAGTTAAGTCTGAAAAAGAGTTGTTTAAACAGTCATGTGAGCTGTATGTACCATATTTGTCTGTAACAGCTTCAATTGACTGGTTAAATCAATTCATACAAGCTTGTTCAAACAGAAAATAACTGTGTAGTTTAAGCAGGGGAAAAAATATCAAGAGATTACTTGCATAATGGCTATATGAGTTATCACAGTACTCAGAAGTACACAGAATTAAACAACTGAAACGTGCATCTGGTCTGCCTTGTAGATTTTGTTCTGGTTGTGCCTGGCTTAGATGCTTCTATCAGATTATTCAGAAATCTGGTGATTTTAGTATTAGTCAAATTCTGTCTATGCTAGAAGTGCTTCAAGCCCTTCAATCAAAGCTTACTCTGCTTTCTCCACTTGACACAGAAGCAGTTTTTTCTCAAATCAGAAATTACCTTACCTAGAATTAGAGCTTCACATTCATATTCCCCAAATTAAGCTTCCACTGTGGAAACAGGTTATAATTGAAACGGTAGGTATCTTTAAAGTTCTTTAAACTCCAGTTTGAGGGGAAAAAAACCAAACAAACCACCCAGCTCAAATTCATAAATTTGGATTGTGTATAACGGAATTGCTATTGGCAGCAGGCTGTCTATGCAATAGCTTTTAACAAGGTCAGTTAAAAAGACTATGGACCTAAAAAATTAAATTTTGAGGTTGTCCATTTAAGACAAAATCCTTTTATTATTTTATACAGAGAATATAGGTCAATTGTTGAATGTCTTTGTAATGATACTCTGGATGAAAAAATCTGGGTAATAAACCTGGATGACAAACTGGATTCTGCATGGTAAACTCACAAATTGGTTAAAAATTCAACTGAAATTTCATAGAAGAAAAGTCACCCAAGACCTGTGAAATGCAAAGGTAGTCTCTGATTTGGAAAGTCTTTAAGCCACAGACTTCAGAAGAGAAGTTCCTACAAGAAATATCACACAGGTTATAATTTGATATATAATTTGCTATTAGCTTAGCAAAATGCTTAGCTAAGAAGTTAAGCACTTGCTTCTGGGTCCTCTCTTTGGTGTAAACAAACACCATTGTTTTGATCTTCCGGCTGATATGAATCAATCACAAAGGACTAATCAATCATCTCCTCCAGCCTCCCATGGAATTGTTTATCATTTCTCTGACATCTGCAGATACGTCTGTGTACAATGCCTTCATCTCCAATGTCAGCCAGCCTTGTTGTGCAGACCTCAGGGAGAGTCCAAAATGTCTCTTACTCTGTCCAAGTGGAGGATCTCACTGGCTGATAAATATTTGTTACCTGCATTACACCTTCTCTGGCTTTAAGTTCCAGAGTAAGGTAAACCTGCTTATGTCTTTTGTGAAGAGCAAAAGGGGTGTTTACAGCTTACACTTACTTCTGAAGGAAGAGTGTTTGCTATCCTGTTACTGTCAATTTTAAATGCTGCTTTTTTTGTTTGGTGATGTTAAAGTAAGTTTCCAGGTAGGGGCTGTGCCACAGGTTATAACATACACCAGATACTAAGCTCAGCCCTTCTGCTGGGTGGTAGCAGCAAAGACTGCAGGACTTGAGGAAACTGTGAAGGGACTAGTTTTGGAGTCAAATATCCTGCTGATTACCCAGAATAAATTTAGGAGTGAGATTTAGCAGTTTTTTTACATCTGTGTGATAATTCTACACGATTTCCCTGGTCCAAAGAAGGGCAGAACAGCATTCAGATGATTTATGGTTAGACTCAATCTTAAAGGTCTTTTCCAACCTAAATTCTATGATTCTAAGGCATGTTTACACTGCTGAATATTGATGGCATAGTCTGATGTAGCTTGGATTTTAACAGAGCATCAGTCTATGAAGACAGTAAGGTAATGGATGAAGACAGCACTAGTGAAGAGAGTTAAGTACAAATGGGTTTAGATTTAAATCTTCACCCGAAGAGGGTTTTTTTCCCTTGCTATTCAGTCATTGCAGATGAAGAAAGAGCAAGAGGAAAGAGAGCAGAAGGAAAGGAACCTAAGAAGCAGCATCACCCAGCTGATTACCTGGAAGCCAATGACTTGTAGCTCATTGTGAAGATCATCTAGAACTCTCCTACCATCAAAGATAAATGCAGGCTTCAGCATCTTCTTATGAATACGTTCATAGTCCAACTCCTGTAAAGGGCAATTAAAGCAGATAGAATAAATAAGCAGCATAACACTCCCTCTTTTTTTCTTTAGTTTAAATTGAAGATAACATTTACCTTAAACATGTCCCATTCAGTGCAAATTACAAGGGCATGAGCTCCATCACAGGCTTCATAGGGATCTTTACTGATAGTGACCAACCGAGACACTGTAACAGAAGGAAAACAAAGTTTAATGCTAAACATGTGTGCAGAATAAATCTGGTACACTCCTGGCAAATGAGTCTCCCTTCCTTGCCCTACACAAATACAGTTTCAAGTCACTCACCTAGAGATGTTTTCTATCAAGACATTTGTCACTTTGATTTCACTTATTTAAATGAAAGCAGCTTGTACCTGCCATCTGAATAGAGCACTTATGTTTGAAGTTAAGCATTCAAATTTGATTTAAACAGTCAAGACCATCACTAGAATTAGAAGTTACTACAGAGTGTTCAATGCCAGCTCTCAAAGGTCATTGCCTGTACAACAGCAGCACGTCACAATTCCTATTTAACACTCAGTTCACACTAGAGAAAGTACACATGGCTCACTAGGGGCTGCCTTCATCCTCTCTGCCTCAGCAGCTGCCTAGAGGAAACCCTCTCCTCCCCCTCTAATCCAAGGGCATGTCAAATAACATACACCCTTCACTCTTCATCATAGCTCATTTTCCTCCATTCTCTAGAAGACTGATCTATCCTTCTCCCCCATCCATCCATCATCTCCATTCTCCTCCTCCCTAATAAGCAAACAAATCCCAAATACCCCTTATTTCTCCCCAAGAAATTTCTAGTCATAGATGATTAAAGTCTTCTTGAATTTAAGGGAACAAAGGAATTTACAAGTGATATGAGGGAAGGGAGAATGCTCTACAGTGAATTTCAGAACTTTTTTTTTTTTTTCCTACTTTAGATATGCAAGCAAGAACTAAGGCAAGATAGGGCTCAGGACACAAAGAAGCTGACAAACAACATTAGCCTCTCCCATTTCTGGACATTCTTCTTTCTTTTCCTTTTAATTACGCAGAGAAAATTCTCTGCATGTATTCAAAGGAGTATTTATCAAAACAAAAATATACAATAGTACAGAATTAGCATTTATCTATAAAAGCTATGGGGAAGGGGGAAGTTACAGTAATCCTCTGAGCTATGACAATCTTCTAGTAAGTGTAACCAACAGCACATCATTGCCATGGTGAAAATTAATTTATAGTATTTAAACACACCTTGTGTATTTTGAGAATAGGGTGGCAAGGGAAGGGGGGGAAAATAAACTTTACATGAGCTTTCTTACCTTGGTTATCTTCTGAGACACCTGGATGTGAAAGATCCAAGATGATTTGTTCCTTAGGTACTTTAGGATCATAGATATGGAGCTTTGCTCCTTCATCCATTAAATACTTGCTAATGTAGATACTGGATGACTCTCTAGGGAAGCAAATCAATCAGTTAAAGAACAAGGCAGCATGTTCCAAGTAATGAAAGTCTTCAAGTGTCATGACATGCAATGCCAGAGCTTTTGTATCAGTTTTACATTAAACATTTTAGTGGTAATCCATGCCAGTGGCAAACTTGGAATCTTGAGTGACACCAAAGTGAGTAATACGAAAAACAAGTTTACATCTTTCTTGCTGAATCATGCAAGAGAGATACTAAGCCCCAGAACTCCTACTGACCATAATTAACAAGGCATCAAGCTTATAATCATTCCCCACAAATTGCAGTTGGAGAGTTGTATCAAGTTTGAGCTTTACAGGAAAACAGAATTAACCACCTTTGGGAAACAAAGCTGGAACTTTCACTTCACATAGCCATTTAGAACCAGTTGCAAAAATGCTTGCATTCTTTTCTGTGGGGAATGGAAGGACTCTGTCAAAAATCTCGTTTTGCTTATGCAAGTTAATAAGGACGAGAGTTAATCTTCTCTAGCTTCTCAATGATTCCAGTATGTTTTACAGGTCAAGAATCAACTGTCTCATCCAATTAAGACACTAATTTTTGTTAAAAACCAATTCAGTCACAAGAGGTTAAGGGTCCCATATCTGACTATTTTTATGAATGCAATTCAGTTGGAGGGGTTTAGCCACACACCTGGTGACAAGCGTAGGAAACCCACGTTACAAACTGAATTTGCTTTCTTACCTTGTGTCTCCAGTATCCTTTTTGAATGCAAACCCTAAAATAGCAATCTTCTTATCAGTGACAGTATTGAACAAGCTGTCAATAATGCGGGAAGCAAACCTTCTTCTCTGATAATCATTCATGTCTATTACCTGAAATTATAGAAAACATGATGGTACAGAAGGGAGACATTTTAAACTATGAACAGATTCTATTAACTATCAAGCCAAGCTATCCACATGTAAGTTTAAGAGAGGCTTAAAAGAGAAAGCCAAGTATTTTTACTCAGTATCATAAGTAATCCAAAGATAAATTTAGTTAATTTATCAAATTCTGAGACAAATCCTATTTTAATCAGCGACTGTAGATGCATATACACACATACTACCATGCACTATCCAGTTCAAAGGCTAGGATTTTTTCAGATCTACAACTTACTGTATTCTAGGCAGAAACATGAAAAGCAATTTCAGTTAGAGTACTTGATGTCACATGGACATCCCATTGCCAGACCTACACTTCCTTACATGCCATATGTAATAACTGTGAGAACATTTTTAGCCTTTTTAATCCACACTTACAGATTTCAATACACGAAACTAGTGTGATTAAACTTTTTTTTTAAAAAGTGCCTCACTTTTGTTATCACATGAAAGTGGGTTCGCTCACTCCGATTGTTCCTGTACTTTCCTCCAGCCTGCTTCATACTTTGATCTCCTGCCCTTAACACAGAGGGCAGGGGATCATATAGTAGAACAGGAAACATCAGTTCCCTCACCTAGTCAGTGTTCAATGTGGACTGGAAAGAACTATACTTCCCTCTCAGTTTTGAGCCTTTCAACTCAAGAATTAACAGCAGCGGCCTATGAAACAAAGTATAAACTATACAGTAGAAGGATATTGGTGAACCAGATTTATTTGAGGAAAAGAAAGAAAAGCAGTGAGTTATGCAACTCAACAGGGTGGTGATGAGGAACAAAGGTAACAGTTTACAGGGTAAGAAGGACGCACTTCTTTTCTGTAGGTATGTTTTCAAGGAAGGAAAATTTCAGTATTAGAGGGCCTGTCCTGTCTAAAGGCCAGAGAGAAAACTTAGGATTCTAGGGCTGCTCTGATCAGCATATCCTCCAGAATTTGCATCCTGTCCTCAGACTGGTATGAAGTCTCCCATGTGCATGCACAGGGATGAGCTGCTGACAGCGCAGTGCTCAGGCCACAAAGAATGAGTTCACACAGCTGCTTATACAGGTGCACTTGTGTGTGCATTACATGACTTGACCAGCATGGGCTGGGGCAGATAGGCCTCTGCAAGATGACAGTGCTCTGAGGAGGCAGAAGGTGCAGGTAAGGGATTGTACTACATGAGCATAACACTTTACCTTATCCTAACTCTGCAGCAGCTGTTCTTACTATCTGATTTGTCCACAGCTTAGTAAGCCACACAGAAACACTGCAAAGAATTGCTCTTAAAACAGGACAATAAACCAAAGCTGTTCTTTTGACCATACCATGTATGTCAAAGCTGCTTCCTCAGTCAGGACTGGGAAGAGGGGTGAGGTGCTTTCACTGGTTAATAGGGAAACACTTGCTAGTACAGACAGAGCATCCTGGTATTGCTGTGGCATGCTAGGCCTGAGAGCATCCACATCTTCCCAACCATTCCTAACATTAACCAGGGAACAGCAGCAACCATGTCTATTTAAAAGAACAGCAAGTTCTGCTGAGTTCTTCCAGAAAAGGAGCTGTAAAAGTAGACGCTGAGGCAAAGATTATAAGCTCTGAATTCAAAGCGGACAGAGATAACCAAGTGCAGGAGGGAGACAGGAGTTCAGACATGCCTGTATTTCACATTTTCTACTGCTACTTCCAGACAGCTTCCCAGTCCATTTGATGCAGACAACCTAATTCAGCCCCAAAAAGCCTAAGCATCCACAAGTATCAAATGCCAATGTTAGGCTGAGGGCCCTACAATGTAAAGATGATCAACATTAAGGTATCTGCTCCTTAAAGCTGAAATACAGAATACGTGGACAATGCTCAAAATCTCAATGCCTGAAAGCTGAATGCTGAAGAAACATGACCCCCAAAAAAAATTAGGGAACTTGTACCTGTTGCCAGTAGCGGGCAACTTCAGGTAAGTTCAGTGCCTCACAGAGGTACACTAAATTCAAGACATCCTTCTGAAAACAGCTACCTCCAAACCCTGAAAGATAAAATGGTTATTTTACAGGTGACTAAGGCACTATTCTAACCCAATCTATGAAACCAAGTAGTTCTTGGCAATCATTGACACAGTCAGCATTATAATTTTTCCCCAGTATTTCACTGCTAGCAAGTGAAAACCTTAAAAATCTCTCAAAATCCAACTCTGGGACCTACCTACTTTGTCAGTTACCAAAGCCTTAAAACCTGCTTCAGGTTGCACTGAAGTCAATGGAAGTTTTAACCCAGCCTCAGGGAAACATGATAATACAGCCCCTAGGTTTTTTTATTACAAGTGGATGGACAAGTTCCTGGGTTTGCTCTCCCCCACCTAGAGATTTAGATTAATATTTCTCAGAATAAGTACGTTAAGACTAGGTTTTTTCCTCCCCCACCCCCAAATGGATATCTAATCACTGCCAAGAACCAAAGATCACCACAGCTGACTAAGGGAGAACTGAGACAAATAGAGGAACCCTAGAACTTTGCTCAGCAGTCCCAGAAGCAACACATTGTAGAAGGAATTATAATAACCTAATAGGAATTTTTGTAATCTATTTGCTACCTACTTTTCAGTCTTGCATAGACTCTAGGAGAGGTTATATTTAATAAGGTTATTTTAAAGTCACCCCTTCTCTTTCTAGCATGAAGACTGTAGCCATATAGATAGGCTTTAGTCTTCTGTAAGTCTGAAAGTTTCTTGTACTGATCACCACTTTAATCACATCTTACACTCTAGTGAATCTAAACAATTGAATTCATCCTACAAATTAGAAGTTGCCATCACACATTCTGACCTAGCGGCATCCCCTTCCTCAGGCCATTGGCAGCAACTCCTGAACAAAATTGCAGCAGTTACAATTGGGAAGACATCTCAGAGAGAACTATCATCAGTAATGTTTCAGAGAAATAAAGTTGCAGCTTTTTCCCCCCCCCGCCCAGTGTCCCAGGCAGGATAAACCATGCATTCTGAACTCTTGGGTTTCAGATTTTCAAGGTCCAGAGTAACCTCAGTTGTAGACATTTTACTAGAAAAAAATTATTTATGCTAGTACTCTACAGCAGTATTTTCACACGCTCATGCGGCAGAAGATTTGAGAGTATCAGATCACTTCAAAATATTACTAGTAGACCTGTTGCATTATTAAACAGAAGCCTAGAAGGAAAAAGAGGGATTTTTTTTGTTTACCAACACTGGCTTTGAGAAACTTATTTCCAATTCTTTGGTCTGTTCCAATAGCTCTTGCTACTTCTTCAACATCTGCCCCTGTAGCTTCACACAGAGCACTGATTGAGTTAATGCTGCTGATTCTTTGGGCAAGGAAAGCATTAGCTGCCTGTAAATAAAAAACATAGTAAAGAGAACTTGATTTTTCCGGAAAACAAGATGTCCACAGACCTAAGGGAGTTACTACTAGAAGGATATTTTAGTATCTGTAACTGTGTCGAGATACAAAACAGTAATAGTTTAATACATAACTGCCAGTTAATGGGACCTAAGAAAAATAGTGTAATGCTTAACTTGCAGAGTTTGAACAGTTTTATGATGGTAACTAGTTTCTGCAGCACTGGAGGTTTACTCTTAGTAATAAGTAACACAGCAATAAAAGTGAGAAAAGGTTTTCATGGAAAGTTGATAACATCTATTAGCTCAGCTGAGATAACTGGAAAAGATTAATATCCTTTGACATACATATTGGGTCCTCCCAACTTTGTCTCTCCTAGATGTATTACTCAGTGTCAGTGAACTTCTGCTTCTGAGCTTTGTCTCACTTATACCCTCTGCAGGACAACAGCAGTGAGTAACACTAACCAGTTTAGAAAGTTCTGATGACCAGGTATTGGTTGTGAGGATTTTTTCTTTGGGCACCCAGTGCTCATAAACAGCACAAAGAGCACGGACAGCTTTCTGTCCCTCTGGAGAATCATCTCCACCAATAAGTACTCTGTCTGGGTTCTTCAGGTCCTTGATGGCTGTTCCTTCTGCAAGGAACTCTGGGTTAGACAGCACCTACAGGCACAGAAATAAAGAACAACAGATAAAAGCCAAAACCAACCAGCCTTTAAATACATAACTCAAAGATTACGCTTACCTGCAAATCCAAGTTAGGCTTAGTATTAGCATCAAATATTCGACGAATGCTCTCTGCAGCACGTACTGGAACTGTGCTTTTCTCAGTGACAATTTTGTAGCCATTTGAATTTTGTACAATTCGTCTAGCACAAGCTTCAATGTATTTCAGATCAGCTGCTCGGCCTTTACCCATCCCATATGTCTTTGTTGGGGTGTTCACCTAGTTACAAATACATGGAGAGGGAAGAAGTCTTACAGGTCTCTTAACACAAGAGGTACTGACAAAGTAAAATTGTTAAGAATGACAGACATTTTCCTTCCCAGAGTCCAGCTTGCTCCTACCCCAGAATTATTCTAGTTACCATATCAGATGAGCAGCTATTCGCTTTCTCAATTATCCACTTTATCTTCTAAAGAAAGCTTATTGGCCTCTGTTCAAATAGAATTTAAACAAGAGCAATTCATAGCAGCTCTGCAGGCTTCAGTGAAACTTAGTCCTTATTCTGGAAACACCAGTAATTTCTTCATGATTACCGCCAGCCACCTTTTGTTTCCTGTCCCACATTAGGAGTGTGAAAATTCATGTAAGAATCTTGCAGCTAGTGAGGCAGTTACAGTTTAAACCCACTTTGCAGTGTAGAGCTGCTGAAAATTGCTATACTGAAGTACACAGAAAAGGCAACACGAGGGAAAACACGTCATTCAGATTAAGACAGAGGGTCCTTTTCATTACAAACTGAAAGAAGAAATGGCAACAACATGTAAAACACAACAGCATGTTTTAAGCCAAGGACAGGTGGTAATACATGGGCTGTATTCGTGGCAGTCATCCAGCTAAGCAGCATTCATTTTAGACTTAATGAAGAAAAATACTATCAGAAAGAGAGCTCTGTACTGACGTGCCCTAACAAAGAGGAGCTCTCAAGAAGAGGACTTAAGTAACAAAAACAACTCAACTGTGGCCTACCAAGATGAATAGCAACCAGTTCCTTTGGATTCTGCATTAGGTACAGCCTTCTAGATTAGAAAAGGTGACACTGTTTATGTTTGACTGGATCCTAGTGGTGTCAACAGCTTAGAAACCTTAAAGCTAGTAAATATGAAATACAGCCTCTCTTCCATTACTACACTGTTTAAAAGCTTCTAGAAATAAGTCATCTTTGTAACCCAATAATCAGTATATGACTTTGCATCCCTGTCTAGGAATCATATCAATATTATTAAAGTCCCATAGATTTCAGTAGTAGACTGCAATAATGGACGTGCACTATATAAAAAATAAAAAGCTTACTCAACACTTTTGGCACAGTACACAGAAAGACAAGGAGAAAACTGTGACAGTGACGTGACATTGCTAACTGAGTCTGTATGACAGAACAAAGGCACCTTCCTAACATAAGAAAAAAGAAAAAAACTTACAGAAATAAATACAAGATCAGCTTCTCTAATGGCATCATCAATACTGGTGGAAAAGAACAGGTTTCTTCCTCGACAGGATTCTACCACTTCTTTTAACCCTGGCTGAAAAAAAGCAGGAAAAAAGCAGTTAAGGTTAGTGCAATTAGAAGAACAGTAAACTGCATGCCCAAAACAGCGTATCATTTCAGATACAGAAAGACTTTTTTTTGAAAACATGCTCAGTGTGGCATATTTTCAATTTGCCAGATGTAAAGTAAAGCTTCTTCAGATTTACATAGTGAAAAAAATAAAGCCCTATCTTATTCAAAATGCTCCAAATGCCATCTCAAAACTTTAAGCTACACTGAATTGTTACGTGCACAACCAGATTTTAGGCTCCAGTTATTCCCATGCTCAATTCTATTCCCATGAGCAACAATTAAAGAAATACCTGTACAGTGATATTAAGTAGATTCAAGAAATCTTACAATACTCCCTAGGCTGTAAACAAGAGGTGATTCCAACTCTCCTTTTCCCTCAGCTACACATTCTATAATCTCCCCAACATCAGACCTAAAACTGATTCAGCACAAAAAACACCCACAAAGAAGTCTTCCACCAAATTAGCAAGCCCAGATCCAGTGAAAGAAAGGCAGCGAAGATACACAGGCAATAGAGATCCCTCCTTTTGGCAACTACGCATCGTTAGATCAGATTAAACTTAGCACGGCACCACACCTGAAGCGTGGAAGAGTCAAAGGCACAATTTGATGAGATTCTTTCCAGAGGCACGTACTGTGCCATAACACTTTCCCTTCCCTTAACACCTCCACTCAGACAAGAGGAGCAAGAGGCCGTGTGTACATAAGCGATCCTCCATATTAGAATGGTCTACAAAATGACTCAACTAAGATACAGTTGTCATAGATAAAAGAAGCCTTTACTTTTTACTTTAAAAATAACATCATACACTGTAACCTGGTTTTCAAATCTTCAACTTGAGACACACCTATCATGACATGAGATATCTGAGTAAGTGCCAGAAAGGCAAAGGTTCACTGGAGGGAGAGAGAAGAATATGAAGCTGAAGCTTTCTTATGCAAGACATTTTTGCTGTCTCACTTTATACCAAATATTTACTTAAAAGGAAAACAAAGGTCAGGACAGGAAGAATAACATGTATTACAACCCATCACATGTTCCAACTATGGTCTTACTGGGATGTAAATAGAAAGGCAGCCCACTAGACAGTTTCTGACACCGGAAAGAAAAAAACAACCCCAAAATACAAAAAACCTCATTGTGCAATGACTCAATTTTACAACTGTCTGAACTAATTCTTGGCAGTTTTTGTACATTCTTTGTAAGCAAAGGACATCATTCCAGGAAACAGATGTTACAAATTTGGGGTTTTTTTTGTTGTTGTTGGGGTTTGTTTTTTTTATTTTTTAAAAACATGCCAAGACTAACTCTACTTTAACTCATTCAGTCTAAGTGTTTGTAAAAAACAAAGTACTTGCTTTCATGATCTTTGTTCATATCTCACCTGCTAATCTGAGCATTACACATTTTCCTTTGAACATGCATGACTAAAGTGAAGATGAACACACCTCCTTTAAGAGTCATAGTATACGTTTAGTTTTAAGAGGAAAAAAACTGCATTAGCGTTACAGCACAGACAGGATTCAGAAAACTTCTTATAGCAAAAGAGTAATTGTCAGTACCAGGCAACATGCCTTGTCTTTGGGAGCCAAGTGAAGACATGTTTTCACTCCCATTAGAGAGGAGAACTCAAACCTACAAGAACTGTATCTCATGAAAGAATGAAGCAAAGAAAGAGAGAGACCGATTCTTTAAGGGTGAAAAAGAGTGAAAAATAACAAGTGCTAAGAGAAGCAAAAGTGTTTTATATATCTTCAGATTAAAGTCATTCTGTAATGAAGGACTGACAGTGTGATATGCTTAAAAATATTTTTTATCTAGCCCAGTCTTCCCATGCCAGATTGGAGGTTTATGGTACAAGTGAATCAGGAACATGAGTGTCCTCATCTTACAACATGGTTAAGACAGGCAGCACAGACTGGATTTTGGCAGTATTCAGAATGGGAATAAAGCTTATCACTCAGTATTACACATTCATATTGTGCTACAACACAGCAGATAATATTTATAACTGAGAAAGAGGACTGTGTTGATTAAATCAGGTCCCAAAAAAAAGTCAGTATGATTTAGCACAATTCACTACATATACAATTACATTTTCCTTACCAGGCCCTTCATATATAATCCTTAAATACCTGCCTGCACCAGACATATTAAGTCATTTCAAAAATCTGGTTTAACGAGCAGTAGTGACAAGCAACTGTTCCAGAATACTCTTTTTGAAGGACATTACTGTGCTATACTTATCAAGCTTTAGAAGTGGGCCATGTGGAAATGCCGTGTGGTGGGAGGGAAACAAATGCAACCCTGACTGGAAGAAGAGATAACGGTGAGACAAGTTTACCTCGTAGATTGGGAGCGTATCTGAATTCCAGGCATTGATTCTGGCCTCATTGACATCCACGACAGTAACTTTGATATTGGGACACATCTGTGCAATAACACTACAGGTGGGTCCACCAACATAACCAGCACCAATGCAGCAAATCTTCTTAATTTCAAACATGATTGCTCTAGTAAAAGAAAGGGGAAAAAGGAGAATTGAGAGTTATAAATGAAAATACTGGCCAACAACTTAAGGAAATAAGAGAATTAACAATCTGATATTTTATTATGCTGCCACAGAGAGAAACATTTCCCTAC